ACAATTTCAGACTGGAAATAAGGTGTAAAATTTTATTGGTGAAGTAATTAACCCTCAGAGAAATTTGCCAGGGTCATGGTGGATTCTCTTTCACTGACCATTTTAAAATAAACATCGGATTCATTTCTAAAAGATATGCCATATTAATTATTTGGGTGGGGGGGTGGGAGAGGAATGAATAGCCTGTGTTAAACAGGAAGGCAAAGTAACTGATCACAGTGGTCCCTTCTGACTTTGGAATCTAGGAAAATGAAGACAAATGAGATAAGTTAAAACAAATCTACATTTGTTACTTTATAAAAATGTGTATTAAAGATATGTGGTTCCCATCTGCTGCAACTGTATTTTTTCTGTCTGGTGACATTTGCTTGTAGACATATCCTCCAAATATGGCAACCACACGTTAACTTACACCCCTGTGATTTCACCATTCCCCACCACAACGTCATCTCCAAGCCACAAGTAGAGGCAGCAGCAAGGATAATCTTACATAAACTCAGTATTCAGTTTTAGAATGAAAGTAAACCTCTTGGATTTTTTTCCTTCATGTGTCTATTCAAACTCCAAAAGATGCTGGGTTTTGTACATGTTTATTGAAAAGGACAAGAGGGGTTACTTATTTTTCCTGCAGGACAAGTGACCCAGTCTCTTCCACAGAGCACGATCATACATGACAGCTGTCAAAGGTAAATAGTGTTTGTTCTTTTACAGTAGAGAAGCAGATTAAGTACAAGTTGCCCACATTGCATTTAATAGGTTCCAACCTCAGCTGGTTACACTGCAAAACATAATACACCATTTAAAATAGCATCAATAGGACACACAAAAGTCTCAAAAAGAACAAAGCATGCAACAGCTCTTCCACATGTATAATGAGACCAGATTAGGGAACCCACTGGGCCTATTAAGTTCAAGCAGGCCATGTTTGCATTGAAGAATGCCAATATGCTTTTTAAAAACACAGTGACATGAATGATTTCTATAGCCACTGCACTGAGAGCTTTCACCTGGCAGTGGGAAAATGGAGTTTGCAAATCCTACCACTCTTCCTTCTTTTGAGAAGTACCAGGATAGAAACTCTCACTCATCTGAAGCTCAGTGGACAGCTACACAAAAGGCATTTCCTCGTGGGGACTGGTCACTGAAACCTGCATTGAACAGCAAAACCAGCCCTTCCCGTTGGCCTCGAAGTGAAAGTAGCCCAGAGATGCTGGCTGGACACAGATCCTTCTTTTGTCTCTCACCTGGAGTGATGAAAATAATTTTTCATTTTCAAGCTCCTTTGATGGCTAAAGAGAATGGAGCCTGAGACTGGTGAATTTGTGAAGCCATAAAGAGCACTTTCACATCTATGTGTGGGAGGAAATATTCAAGCCGCTTTAGTTAGTTTTTCACTCTGATGCTTTCTGGAAGCCTAAGCAGCTTCAGTTCATGAGTCTATGAAAGTCTTTTCCTTTCCTAAATGAGTCTTGTCTTGAATTTCTCTGGTACCATCTCCGGAGTTTGAACGTCACACATGCAAAGGAAATCACATTTTTTAATGTACACCCTTTACTAACCTATTGTGTTTGTTAAAAATTGCACATAGCGCAGTAATGTAACTATTCTCTGTGGTGCTATTTTAGCATTTTTTGTAGAAGAAAGAGAGAAATGTTATTTGTTGCTTAAAAACAATTCTGAGTCCTACAAAATGAGTTAATAAACTTTTAAGCTTGCTTAAAATACATCTAAATGTGTGTGGATTTTGTTGATCCATCCTAGTTAGAAAGATAATCAGGCATATGTTACCCCTGTGCATTGCACTGGCTGCCTACCCACTTCTGTGTGAACTTCAAGATGCCCTGGGTACAGTCTAGAAAGCCTTACTGATCTAATCCTAACTATGTGACACATTGTCAGATGCATGCAAAATACTCTGTCTTTCTAAGGTGAAGCTTGCAGGTGTCAAACAAAGCACTGTCACTGGCAGATGCTTGCCTGTGTAATTTGTTCCTACCAGAAATGCACCTGAGTCCAAACTGTTCCTTCTTCAATGCTTAACCAAACATTGGCTGTAGCAATAGTTTATCATTAGGTCTGTTCTTGTGTGGCCGGAAGGGCTTGATGGGTTGAAAGTCTGATGCTGAAACAGACTTGATGCACCCATGTAAGAGGAGGTCTGTCTCTGGGTCATTTCCACCCCATGGTTTGATGTAATTTTGTCCTGGATTTTGCAAGCTTCCCAGAGAATGGGATTTGCTGGAATATCAGCTGCAGACAATGGCCCTAATAGTCTGTAGAATGGAGTGATCATAAATGTCTGTGTTATAAATGAAGTTGTTCTATTTTATGCCCAATACGCCATTGGCATTTTGCATGGAAAGCCTCCAACTTTGCCCAGTCTGGGCAACATGGGCCCATGTTTCATAACCATACAGCATACAACTCAAATAGAACTAGATTGCAGTGCTGAGCCAATGTTGATTCTATACTCATTGTAAGTGATCCATGGCAGATGCTGCAATGTCAGTCCAGTGAAGAACCTCTATATGAGAGCTGGATGAACTCCTGAGTATAGAACCCAAATAGAAAAAACTAGAGACTTCTGGGAGAGTTTCATTATTCTGGGAGATGGGAGTAATGGGTGGGTGGACATGATCCTAGGTTTTGCACCTTTGTCTTTGACCACAAAACATGGAGACCGACATTGGCCAATTCTTCGTCCACCTGCTGGTAGGCCTATGAAAATGTTGGGGCTCTGTACTAGAAGAGCAATGTCAGCACCATAGTCAAGGTCTGAGAGTGAGAGATCCCAGATCCTAATGCCTATGCACCTGACAGAATGCTGCACTATGAAATCCATGGCCCAACAAAAGAATGCAGGGGCCAGACACAGCCCTGCCTGACACCAGATACTGATTTAAAAGGTGCCAACATCTGACTCCCAAGATGTACGCAGGCATCCAATGTTCCAATGTACATGGTTCCAATGTGCAGCTCGCTAATCAAGTCCAGCCGAGTGTTTGGGACACCTCTCCCCTTTAAATGTTTCCATAGTCTGACTTCATCAGTTGGCTCAAACACACCCTTAAGATCAACATAAGCCATGTGCAGGGGCTGCTTGAACTCATGGTGTACCTCCAGCCACAAGCAAGGGCGAAAATGGTGTCTGTGGACCTATTCCTTGTAAATCTTGACTGTTTAGAATGACACTTCTGATGTAGCAAGGGCTCCAAACACACCAGAGCATTTGCAAACACCTTCACCAGCATAGACAATAAGATGACTGGCCTGTAGCTCTTACCTTTGCTGTGCAGTCCTTTGCCTTATAAAGTGAGCTCACAATACTATCCTTCCAGGTGGTTGGCAAGGTTCCACATCAGGCGTAAGATGACTAGAAAGTATTTTGTTACAGAGTCTCAAATGTTCATTTTAGCAGCTCTGGGTGGAGGGTACCATAAGAGCAACTGTGGGTCCATTTTTGAGTTTGCAGCTGAGAATTTGTGGCTGACATTGATACAAAACATAGGCTAAACCCTGAGAGGAAGAAGTGCATTAATGTCAAACTTCATCATCATTGCAGAGGGATTACTTGCTTCTCAAAGCATCAACATCATCTGGGCAACCACTAGGAGATGATTCATGTTCATGGCACATTCTACATCATGCAATCGTTTGCAGGAGGTGAAGAGGCACCTGTCATGTATGATCATGAGGTCCAATTCCTTCTGGGTGACCCCATCATGAGGGATCCAGGACATCTAGTGTATGTGTTGTCACTTGAACCATGACTCAAGAATGGAGAGATTCTGAGAGGTGCAGCATGTGAGCAAGAGGCATATAAGGTTTTTGTCTAGACTACAGGGTTTTGTCGACAAAAGTGGACTTTTGTCAACAATACTATACCTGCGTCTACACAGCCTCTGAGTTCTGTCGACATAATGTCGACAGAACTTGGCAGTTTTGTCAATGGCTGTAAACCTCATTCTACAAGGAATAACGCCTTTTGTCGACAGAGTTCTGTCGACAGAAGGCTTTATTGCATCTACACTGTCCTTTGCGTCTATACTGTCACGTCGACAAAGTGGCTTGCTCTGTCGACAGAACTGGCTGTAGTCTAGACGCTCTTTGTTGACAGAAGCTTTGTCGACAGTATCTGTCGACAATACTTCTGTCGACAAAAGCCTGTAGTCTAGACATACCCAAGGGCTGTGTCTAGACTGGCCCAATTTTTTCGGGAA